AAAATCACTGATTGTGGACAATCCTGATTAGGTTATTACAGATAATATAGTTGTGTTCTGTAACAATGTTGGTCATACGCATTGATCTTATTGTTCCAAGGTCAAAAATAGGAAATCATAGTTCAAATCATGACATTTCAGTCATTTATGCATACAGCACAGTTCCATTATTTTCAGTAAAAAAAATAAATAAAATTAATTTACTTATTTAATTATATAATTGCATAGTTTATTATAGTTTCCCAACATTTTTGATGAACTATACTTTTTACTCACCCATAATTATCTTATTTCTTTTTCATATATTTACTCATTTATTTAATTATCTAAATGTATAGTTTCATATATATATATATATATACTTTTTTTTCATGAACTATCCTTTGTACTCATATTTACTCACTCATTTAGTTATTTAATTGTATAGTTTATTATATTTCTTTCCCAAATTTTTGATGAAGTATCCTTTTAATTCACACCCATATTGATGTACATATGCTGATTAAAACAGTCTATATGCTTTGTGTACTATTTTTCCACGTCTTATAAAGCCAAATAGCTCTAATTTGTCTTATTGTAGTGAGATCAACAATAAGAAATCACAGTTCAACTCTTGACATTTCAGTCATTTACATACAGCAGAGTATCATTATTTTCTAATCATTTTTAACATTTTATTTATATATTTATTTAATTATATAGCTTATTGTATATTTTCTCCCACATTTTTATGAAATATCCCTTTAACTCACACCTGTAATTATCTGACAGATGCTGATGCAAATAGCCCATATCTTTTGTGCACTTTTCACCTAGTCTTATAAAGCTAAATAGCTTTCTTTGAAAATCATGAGAGATTTGTAATATTTTCCTGCACTATCCCTATAATTGCAAAAGTATGTTAGAGTTTAAGAAGAGAACATAGATGAGAGTATCTGTGTGTGTGTGTGTGTGTGTGTGTGAGTGAGAGTGTGTGTGTGTGTGTGTGTGTTGGGGGGGTATTGTAGGCATTGGCCTTGTGCCCATCCTGTGTTATACCTGCATCTCAATGAAGCTGGCAAGGTGATTTACTGGCAAGGTGTCTGGGCTGCAGTCTCTCGCTCTCTCTCTCTTTAACCAGCGAGTCAAAGCGACATTGATCTCTCAGCCAAGGCAAGGTGACCTACAGAGCACCACTTCCCAAGTCTTTCTTTTCTCGTCTTCATCTCTCCCCCTTTCCTTCTTTTTTTCATCGTGGAGTCGGTGGCGGGCCGTGACCCCGGCGAGTGATGTCATGTCCTGTGGCAGAGAGCACAGCAGTGAGGTGAATATGAAACAAAAGCAAGTCCTTGAGCTGCTCTGTGCCACACGTATCAATAAAACGCCTTCACAAAGTGTCGTTTCACAACCCCGGGCATTACAACACCACTCTACCACAGATATGCTGCTTTAGAAGGACGGTTACCTTTATCTTAAAGGGAAAGCACACTCAAAAATGTAACTTTTCGCATTAATGCTTATTCACCTTCATGTTGCTCAAAACGTTTTTTGTTTTTTTATTGTTGTTGTTTTTTTGTTTTTTTCAATCAAACATTAAAAGAGAAGTTTAGCGCAATATACAGGCTGCTGTTTTCCATACAACGGGAGTGGATGGTTACTTCTGGTCGGAAAAATGTAAAACAATATAAAAGGTATAGCCTAGTTCATAAAAATTGCAAAATAGGATCATTGGAAAAAATGTGCCTCTATACTGTTAAAAAACTTTTTAAGTTGTTTTAAACAAAAAAAACAACAATGGAACAACCTTTTTGCACTTAGTCAGCTTGAGTTGTACAAGTGGCAACTTGGAAATTAGAGTTGACTTAAAATTTATGGCAGCACAAACACTTACTTTTTTATCAGTGTTTTGCAAAACTACAAAAATGCAGGACTACATAAATTAGCCAAACACCAACAACTTTTCTTCTTTTTCACACAAATTATGATTACAGGCAGATTATTGATTAAGAAAGACTTATATTAGCACTGTCTTGACCAATACTGACCTCAGAGTATTTTTACCATTGTGCGTGATTTGTAAACTAATTAATATATTGTAATGTTTGCTTCACATAATTATATACAGCATTTTAGAAGTAGCAAACTTGCTCGGTAGCTCACTTGGTACAGCGCTGCACTTGAGTCATGACACTCGATAAAAGAGCTCATAGACTTGTAAAAGTAAGCTAGCAAATGCGTTTTTATCTCACTTTTGTTACTACTATACGCTAGGTTTATTGTAGGGTTTAGTTTATGAGGTGTAACGCGATAACCCATTAATCTTTCAGCACCACTCACCTGATATACTGTATAATTTCCAAACTGCCACGATACACAGAACACCCAGCGTGATACATTTTTTTAAATTTTTTTAGCGCCACGTAGACCTACTGGACATTTCGATTTCCAGTTAGCCTGGATTGAAAAAGCAAATGTGTTATTAAAGGTGCCATAGAATGCATTGATACAATATTTAAAATTGTTCTCTGATATCTACATAGAAAGTATGTGGCATAGGTAAGGACAAAACATCTCCAGAAACGGTTTTACATGTCCATTTACAACCCTAGGATTTGTCCTAGAATGAAATGGTCTGTTTTTACCTTATTTGGAAGGGTCATGAATAATAATGTTGAGCTCTGCTCTGATTGGCTGTTTCGCAGTGCGGCTCATTTCAGTAGCTCACACAGCAGGAAGGAAACACAGGGAAAATATATATTTCAATATGTTCTCTCGCAGTTATATTGTTGGGTAATTATACTGTATATAAAATGCGGACATCAGGGAGCCGCTATTAATATGCGGGGCATTGCTTGCGAATGCATGATCGCGTTTTACTTTCACTTTCGAGATTTGCGATCGCACGTGCTCTGTGTAAACTACAGCGGCAGTACTTCCCACACATTTTACAAGATCAGATGCTTGTCAGTGGTGCTCAGGATCTGTAAATCATTCGCCATCATCCTCAGTCATCTCTCCTTACTCTGTTTATGTGGGAAGTGAAATCTTATGTACTGTAATGTAACAGGCTACCACTAGCAAGCAGCAAACCATGTCCCTTTAGTGGCTCGAGTTATTTTATTAGAACGCATTATTTGTCTTCCGTGCCTTTCTGAATACAGACACCAACC